CAGGTTTTAAGTAAAATAATTTCGTCTTCTATGAAAAACTATTTCGACTTTTTTCTCTGAAATTGCAATTTCGGGGCCTCAAAATAATTTTGCGTGCAAGTATAGTCTATAAATTATTTTACTTAGTAATACCTATAAAAAGTTGTAATATGTCAAATTACATCAGTATTATGTCAAATAAGTATAATAAGTAATACTATATAATATTACATAAAAATTATTTGCAAAATTTTTCACAAACATCTAACTTTAAACATGAAGATCTCAATTAATATTGAAGCTACAGGAATGAAACATATATTGTCAGAATTTACAAATTAAAAAAACCTTCAACAGAAACTTTCATATAATATAATTATCAAGTTATATTAGATTTTTAAAGAATATAAAGAAGATTTATGTATAAAATTCATGTATACAAATTTTCATGAGTTTGTTTAAAGATTACTAAGACAAAATGACTCATCTTATTATTTGACCATTTTTCTCATCACTTTTTTAGACATAAAATATCACAAAAATTTGTTTATTATATCTGGCTTGTAATTATTTTGGATATATAAATATGAAAATAGAGATTCCTGTCTATATATGTTTCCAAAATTGATTTTGAATTTTTGAGATATTTTGACTTTTTGAAATTTATGCAGAATCTATTTTATATATGGAAGTAAAAAAGTATCCAGTTATGTGTATATTCAATCAAAGAATAAATTAAAAAATTTCAGATTTTAAGTAAAATAATTTTGTCTTCTATGAAAAACTATTTCAACTTTTTTTCCAAAATTGCAATTTCAGGGTCCCAAAAAAATTTTGCATGTAAGTATAGTCCTGTTTACAGTATTTTTAGTAATATCACTTTTCACCTCCAAACAAATGGACAAACTAAGAGAATAAATCAAACCTTTGAAGAAATGTTATGAATTTATATCACTTACTATTAAAATCAATGGGATGATACTTATCAAAATATAAAAATCAACATTGTCAACACCAAGAGCATAAAATTGGAATGAAAGTAATATTATCTACTATCAACATTACCAAAAGAGATTAATAAAAATTGTCAAAAAATAAAGTTATCTTCTAAATATATTGGTCCCTATAAAATTATTAATAAAATTTTATCTACTGCATACAAATTAAAATTATTTAATAACTAAATGTTCATATTTCATTATTGAAATTATATCAAGAAACCACTCATGATTTTAATTGTGAATTGTCACCACCACCAGAAATAATTATTGATAATGATAATCAACCAACCAAAGAATATGAAGTCAAGAAGATTTTGTATATTAAATACAAGTGAAATAAACCATATTATTTAATACAATGGAAAGGATATTAACTTCATGATGCCACTTGGGAACTAAAAAAAAACTTAATTCACTGTAAAGATATTTTGAGAAAATTTCATAAAATGAGAATATTTCATTCTTAAGTAGGGAGGAGTGTAACAGTTTTCTCTTTTTATGCCTTAGTGATATAGTAGTTTATTTTTATTTTTATTTTATTTATATTTTATTTTATCTTGTTGATAGCATGCATGATTAGCATAGTTTAGTTGTTAACATGTAGAATTAATACAATTAGCTCTTTTTAAATGTTAATTATCATATATTATTCACTATTTTTATATTTTCTTATTTATATTTTTATTATATTTTTATCATATTTTTATTATATGCATGTAACCATTTGAATTGATCTTTTAAGACCTAAGATAGTAATCATTATTTATTACATATTTTTATTATATATTTAAACATGCATTTTTTTATATATAAAGCATATGAATTAATAAAGAAGCAAGTTAGTTCTTCAATTTATTTAATAATAAACGATTTTCAATAAATATTTGTTAATATTTATTTCCTCTAACAAATTTGTAAATTTGTTACACTGTTAGTATATACAAATAATACACAAGTCAAACACAAAAGAATAGGTGATGTAAATAGGAATTCTGATTTTAGCTGGTTAATAATATAGAATAAAATAGGCACAGTCAATTTTAGCTGGTCTATGATATAGGAATTCTGATTTTAGCTGATTTATAATATATGAAATACCATTCAGTACAGTGATTCTTTTGTATTTGACTAGTGATAATTGCATATGTTGTAATATGATCAGATTTAAATATGCACAAAGAACCACTGTAATTCCTATATTATAAATCAGCTAAAATTAGAATTTCTATATCATAGACCAGCTAAAATTGACCATCCTATTCTATCCAATATTATAAAACAGCTAAAATTGAAATTCCTTTTTGTGCTACCTATTCTTTTGTGTTTGACCTGTGAGAGATATTTAATACAATATTATTAGACCAAATAAAGAAAAATGGTTCATATGTCATTGGTAAAGAATTTAAAGAAAAATTAGAAACTTAAAATTAAAGATTTAAAAAGTTGGAACACCTAGTTTTTCAATACATTTTCATATGAGCTAGATAAAAAAAAGCTCAAATGAATACCCTTATTTTGTCTTTTTTTATCCTTTTGTGATGGTTAAAAGTCAAAAGCAAGCAATTACTTGCCTTAGAACACTTCTTATTTTGAATATTGTCAGTTTTCTATCTTATTTTGAAAAAAATCAAATGGAACTTTACTTGTTGCTCTTAAATACACTAGTCAAATATAAGAATTGCTGTATTATAAATCAGCTAAAATTGGAATTCCTATTTGTGCCATCTAAAGTTGTTAGTTGAAAGTTTTATTTTGACAAACATTTAGGTATACTACAGTCAAAATATAATTTTAACAATGACTTTAATAATTTGGTAATGCAGAAATATGTCAAAATGTCTAAATGTTGTTGAAATGTCTAAATATTGCATCAGTAATTAAATAAAAATGTTCTACAACACTATATGAACACCATTCATATAATGTTCTTAGGACAGTACTAACATACTAGAATGCAACATTCTAGTGCATTATTTTAACATTTCATACTTATAGCATACTAAGACAATATTTTAGTGTGTTATTTGAACATTTCATACTTATAGCATACTAGAACACAATGTTTTAGTGTATTATTTGAACATTCTGTACTTATAGCATACTAGAATGCCTTTATAAAATTCCTGATATGTCAAAATGTCTAAATCTTGTCAATATAATTTGATTATGTATAGCAATTGGCAAAAATTTTTGATTATGTAATTTTGTCTATTGTTGAATAGTAATAATTAATGGTAGTAATTTTTAAAAATTTAGTTAATAGTGGTGGTGAAGATTATCATTCCTAATTAATTTTTCTTTACTAAATAAAACTATAAGGAGACATACAGTGATTTTATCAATCTATAATATATTTTTTTTTGTAATTGGTTTAATAATTTTGCTTATAATGAATAAAACATTCCAAAATGGCTCAGAACCAGAAGGCATATTTTATTTTATTTTTTTTTGTTAAATTTTTTATAATTTTAGAAAATCCTGTGATATTACTGATGAAACTTCTCAAAATATTGATGCAAAAAGATCTTCAGGTTGACCTCTTGTAGGAGTTTGGAATTATTTTGAAAAAGGAGAATCAAAAAAAGGTCATTGATGGGGACGTTGCATTGATTTCTGAAGATGATAATCCTGAAGATCTCAAAGATTACCAGATCAAATGATTCCAAATCAAGATTTTGAATTTGAAAATTTAATAGATATAAATAATAAAAAAATTTCTTAAAAATGAACAAATTCAGATGTAGAAGAAGAAATAGAAGAGTCTGAAGATGAAGATAAAGTTGATGAGGAGTTTGACGAGTTTAATGAAGAAGAATTTGGTGTAGAATTTGCAAAAAATGTAATGAATGATAATAATAATTGAAACCTTATAATTTAGTTACATAAAAATTAAATTACATAATTCTAATGATAAAATAAATAAATAAAATTATTTCTTTCGTTAAAAATTTTAAATTTTATGGTGATTTATTAATTTACTATTTCATTAAATAAATTTATGTAAATAAATATTGAAACTTTTAACATATATTTAGATTTTTGATTCTTTTATGTTTGACCTGTGTAATAGTAATGACATAATTTTTTAACATTAGTATTGTTCAGAAATCTAATTTTGAAAAGTTATGCGAAAAATGAATGAATATTAACTTTAGTCATTACAAAAATTCATGTGTTATGATTGTATAAATGCATCATATTATGAAATTATAATAAAATTAATAAAACACATTAAATTCGAGTTTATTAATACATTCACAAGAAAATTTTTAAAAAAATTAGATATATTTTACATAAGTTTTCTTTAATAATAAATAATAAAAAGACAGAATTTAGAAATAGATTCTTCGATATAATAAAAGAAATTTTTTCAAATTTAAATTTATAAAATATATAATTTTCTTAACCAAAATACATTTTTTATTTAAAATAATGCTAATGCAATAAAAGTTGAGATATCTCTTTTTCCTGCTTGACTTTGAATTTCCTATTCCTCATCAATAAATTTTAATGATTTTTACGAATCAAATATCATAAGTATTGGCATTTAAAAGTAGAAGATTCATTAGATTCATTTAACTTTAATGTATTAAATATATTAGGATCTATAAATTTTTATAAATTTAAATTTTTAAAAGATTTAGAATTCTGTAATTAAATCCATATAAAAATAAATTGTTCCAGGAATATTACCTGAAGATTTCCCAGATTTTATTTCTTCTAATAAATCATGTAATCCATGAAGAGTATAAATATATCGGCCAAGATAACATGATTGAGGATGCAACTTACTTGAATGTGAAAATAATTCAAATAATTCTTGCTTTTGAGATTTTGATGTATTTCTTTGATTTTCATCAGCAATGTTAAGCTGTCGCATAAAATTATTATCCACTATATTATTCGAAAGTTTTTCAAATGCATCACAAAATAAATCAATTAATTCATTAACAGTAGGACGTTCAGAAGGATCATCACTCCAACATCGATACATCAAGTTTAAATACCATTCTGGAATCCAATTTAACATAAAATCAGGGACCTTTGGTCTTACACCATTGCATATATCAATCACCAAATAAGTATCATGGGCTTGGTCAGAAAATGGTCGTTGTGCAGTAATTATTTCATACATTATTCCACCAAAACTATAAATATCACCCTCTCTTGTAAATTCATTTCCCCTTAATACCTCAGGTGGAATATATGGAATTGAACCATAAATATTATTATTCTTGTTATTAGAGTTTAAAATTAAATCATTTTCTAATTTACCCAATAAACCTAAATCTATTATCAATAAAACTTCAGAATTACTACGAGGAATTTTCAAAATATCAAAAATATTTCCACTATGAAGGTCACAATGAACTAAATTCTTTGCATGTAAACCTTCAAGACAATGTGTTATTGATGATAATATGTCTAATTTTGTTTTCCAATCTAAATCCCAAAATTTTTTGGTTAAAAAATTATGTAAGTTATCATCAAATAAATCCATAACGATAATGTAGTTTTGTGTGGAAGGATTTTTTGAAATTCCATAATATTTAGCAATAAATTCATAATTATTAGTAACCTTTATCTTAAATATGATATGAAATATTAAAAGATAAATTAATAAATTACAAAATTTCAATAATTATTTATATTCTAAATATAAAGAAACACACCTCTTTAAGAAATCTAACTATATCATATCTAGAATCTTTTATTTCTTTCAAAGCAACTTTGTAATTAGGCAATGGATATTCCCAATCCTGTTTGAAAAAATTCCAAACCATTTTTATTCCATTTCCTAATTTGGCAGAATACACAGATCCATGACCACCATCTGCTATGTGATTGATATTTTGAAAATTATCATAAGGTATCCAATGTAACTTATTGTAAATGTTATTTATTTGAGATTCTTGTATAATCTTATCAATGTTGGCATTCCCACTAGACCAAGTTTTAAATTCTTGGATAAAATGTTCTCTAGTACACAAAGAACAATTTCCAAATCGAACGGAATTTTTGCTATCAGAATAAGAATCCTCTGAAGAATGATGACCTGCTGGACAATACTCTATTTTTTTTGTTTTTTGAGGCATGGGAAATAAAAAGAATATTTAATATTTTAATTTCTTAAATTTTTTATTGTTTGATAATAATTAATCGATCCGACCATTTTATATAATAATTTCAGATTGTATTGTTGATTTATTTGTGTTACCATTAATACTAAATTTGCTATGAAAATTATCATTAAAAATTTTAATATGTATTATATTTTCTTTTTATTTTAGAACAATTATAGCAACAGAATATATTAATATTATGTATTAAGAATAGTAACATTATTTAATAATTTTATAATACCTCGATCTTAATCTTATTATAAACATAATCTTAAGAGGCTCCATATTTCGCAAGGTATATTTTACCTCCTCCTATTCTTTATAATAAATATAAAATTAAATATAAAATAAAAAATAATTATCTATTTAAATTTAAATACAAAATAATATTATTGAGACGATAATGATAATGAATAAAAAAAATAAATATAAATATCAATATATATATAAAAATAAAATAAACAACACAGTTTTCAGGGGAGAAGGGGACGCAGTCGACGTAGACATACTCTATGGCAGTCGAATAAGGAAATTTTAACCAATAATTTAAGATCACGTGTATCTACAAAAACAAACTGACCCATTCGACTGGTTAAACAACCATGGATGAGAAATCTCATAACGGAGTTCATAAACCCCTTCAAGTATTATTAAAAGGCTGTTCAATAGTTTTTAATGCAAAAAAAAAATATTTATTACAACGTATTTTTTACGTAGATATCGAGAAATAGTAATCCCATACGGCACGATGGGCAAGATGGTAAGAGTGCCTCACTTTCGGCTAATCTTGGTGATTACAGTATGGGACGTCATATGTCTATTATGGGCATACCACATAAATCGACCTCCAAGGACAAACTTCCGGGATCAGACTGTATATTTGGTGAAAATGTTAAAACTTTTTGCCGGCAAGATCATAAAAATGGAGAACGTGCTTGCTCGCCCAACCACAGTAAACCTCACATTTTCGGCTCGAGGGAAGATTTTAAGATACTTCTTCGGGGCATCAATTCGTTGCGGGACAGCAAAAATGAGACAAATGAGAGAACAGATATACGAAATCAACAAACTAGTAGCAGTGACGAGATTGAAAATGATGCCAACATTGTTTTTGAATGTTCCAACTACAAAAAAAATTAGAGAACTGCAATCAAGCTTGGAGCAATTGTTCTGAGACAGTACCTTGGACAGCTCTGTATGGACAAAGGAAACCGTGGAAACTCCCTGTTATCTTGTACACCCAAAAAATGAACCTAAAATCAAACATGACAGTTCTTCCGTGTGCCCAGTGTCAGTTGGTGCAGGATTCGATAAAAAAACGTGCAATAATTCTCCCATTATAGTTGAAAAAATAAGTGAATCTGATGGTTGTCGTGTGGCAACCTCTCTTCGCCTTAATCTCCAAACCGAAGATCCTCAAGAAAATACTATGAAGGAGCTTCAATGTTACATAGCGGAAGTTAAACAGTTTGGTTTTAATCATAGTATTATTATCGGAAAACGTTATTGTGGAATGCTTTTTGTGGATTGTTTTGCCTGTGTGTTTGATTGGGATTCAGATAGTCATGCATTATGGTTTCTCGGGGATTATTTCGAAATTATATCAAAGGAGGAATCTGAAAAAATTATGATTATCGGACAGCATGGGACGTTTTAGAGTGTTTGTGCTACATAAACGTATGTATATATATTTTTCTCACATTTTACCTTAATCTTTTATAAATTTTTCTTTCTTTCAGATTTACCGGGAGAATCCGACATTTCTTCAATCATGGACGAGATAAAAAAGGAGATAAAAAAGAAAAAAAAGAAAAAGCGTCATTACTGACAATGATGGAAAATATCTTTGGTCCTACGATCATCATAATAGTTTATTCTGCAATAGTTTATCGATTTATTTTGAAACTTTCAAGCTAATAAAGTTTCGGGCTATCTTCTTATGTGTCAGAGAAATAAATAGAGATTGTGTATGCATAAAATTGTGTTGCCAAAAATAGATTTTATGGCTTAATCATGGAACATTTAAAGTTTTGATCTTATTCAATAAGACCCAATTCTCGAAGATGCTCTGGAATAACTATATTTGGGTCTTCGTAGTACCAAACATACCTTAAAACAATCCAGTTTTCTTCACATAATTCATTCTTGAGTTGATCCCGTTCCTGCTGTTTGATGAAATTATTGGAATCTTCTCTATGAAAGAATTTGATGTATTTTTCATGCTGTTGACCTTGTACTTCTATAGCTAGACCATACTGAGTATAATAAATATCCAGTTCTAATCCACTGGGGTGTTTGGAGGTTTTAAGAAAATCAGGTTTGCGATTTTTTGATGGCTCCCCTAAATATTTTGATCTCATGTTTATATTTTGAGCAATAGGGGCATCATGTATTACCATTTTTAATACTTGCCAATGAAGAATTCCATTCATGACCTCTGACACATTTCCATCATTTAAGTGGGATTTACCATTAATATTTTTATTTGAAATACACTATTAAATGCAATTATTTTAGCAATATCAAGAGTATTCTTAGCCTGGCCTGCACAATATGGACACCATGAGTTGAGTGGTCATCCTGAGACACCATAATATATGTATGTTATGGTGTCTCAGGATGACCACTTAGTATAGGTTATGATGCTTCAGGATTGACGCATGTTTCAGTTTTGTTGTGTCAGATGAGAGATGCGTGATTTAGTTTTGCTGAATCAAAGATGTGCAGTCCCCCTGTGTGATACTCAAATCATGTTCACTGCGTAAGATGAATGTTGAAGATGAGTGGCCATGACCTATCCCCTAGACAATATGGCTGATACTCAAATCGCATTTGCTACGTCAAAGATGAGTAGACATGGCCTGATAACTAGTCATTGCGGATGATGCGTGATTCAGTTTTGTTGTATCAAATATGAGTGGACATGGCTAGTCATTACAGATGACACGTGTTTCAGTTTTACTGTGTTGAAGATGAGTGGCCATTACCTTTAAGGTTGGCACATTTTTTTGATGTTACTTATCGTTCCTGATTAATTTCCGATGTAATGTAATAGTTGTTTTAGGTTATAGGGTAAAGTATATCAACATACCTTGCCAATTTTTTTGTCACCATGAAAAAAATCTCATGGTGATATTTCATGGTGACACTTTTGTATATGTTTTTAAGATTTTTTGGTTGTTTTATTTATTTCTTGATTAGTTTCTTATATTTGTTACTATTGTTACTATGAAAATAAAACTTCTAGAAAAAAAACAAAACTTTTTCATGATATTATATATGATGATACCTACTGTACATCTATATAAACAAATAATGAAACAACATTTTCACCCCACGTGTGGTCGTGTGGTTAGTCATGTGTTACATCCTTCAAATATCAATTTTTATTAAATAGAAATATTTCGGATCACTCGTAAATTTAAATCCTGTGACATGTGAATATTCGAAAACAGGTTGCATCTCATTTACTTTATTTAATTTCCAAATTCCTTTGAGGCTTAAAATTTTTATTTTTAGAGCATATTAAGAAAAAGGAATATCTATGTGGATTATTAAATATGTTAGTTTTATTCAAGGTGAAAAGGACATCCTTATATATATAATTTTAGTATAATTTATTGCATTTCGTTAATTTTCTTTGTTATTACTTTATGTTAATGTTATGCTATTTCCATATTTCTTGGATTATTTACAAAAATACCTTTTATAAAACATTTAATTTATTACATACTCTGCTACTTTTCTGGTAATATTTTTTTGTTTTAAATATTCACATATCTTCATATTTTCGAAAGAGCAATATATTTTTAATTTTGATAGATATAATTAGATTTAACTTAATGAAAGAATCAAATTTAAATTTATAAAATTTAGACGATTTTTAATACAACGAAGTTCCAATTATAAAGGTATAACCGACTTTATAAATTTATAAAAAAGACATCATAATCTGCATAAGCTAATCTTTATATCTTTTATATTATTTATTTTATCCAAATGGTTAAAAGAATTTCACGTTCCAGGTTCTTACAAAAAAGCATAAATATTGTATATGATTAAATTGATTTATCAAAAAAATTTAAATAATTCACTTAAAATCCGCAAGAATTAATTATCCAATGAGAGTAACAATACGTAAAGCTTTCACCATTCTTATAATCCCAGCTTTAATATATGGAACTTTAATTAGTATTTCATACATAAAAATAGAAGAAGAACAACAACAAGATATATTAATTCCTCAAGATGTTCATATTTCAATATGCAAAGAAATAAATAATCCTCCTTTTCCTACTTTTCCGATGGTTGAAAAATGGATCAGCAAAGGACTTTATGTCGGATCATTTAACAACACAAAATTTGATATTGTATATACTTGGGTAAACGGTAGTGATCAAAAACATAGAGAAATGCGAAAAAAATATAGTAAAATTCGTGACAAAGAAAGTTGGTATCGAGATTTTGGTGAATTACGATATTCAATGAGATCAATTGAAAAATATTTCAAAAGATTTATTAACAAAATTTGGATAATTACTACCGATTATGAAAATAACGACGACGAAATGCAAATCCCAAGTTGGTTAAATACTTCTGATCCAAGAGTTGAATTAATTAAACACAGTGAAATATTTAACGATGTTAATGTGTTACCAACGTTCAATTCACTGGCCATTGAAAGTCAGATGATGAATAGTCCTAAATTAAAAGATAAGGTAAGGTATACTTTATTATTTATTATTTATTTATTAAAATATTTATAAATTGATCATAAATTAATAAATAAAGATTTATCAAATTTATAGATAATATACTTTAATGATGATCAGTTTATGGGAAATTATTTAACTCAAAGTGATTTTTGGACTCCATTGTACGGTTTTAAATTTAATATCCAACATGATTTAACTGTTCCTTTCCAACCCGGTAAATATCATGGTGAATGGTTTGCCTTGTGTCATACAAACATGTTACTAAGTAAGTTAGTTCACATGACTAAAAAGATGTCATTTTTTTTTTTTTATTTATAAAAATTATTTATATCCACTTATCAAATTTTTTTATATAGGTAAAAGATTTGGATATCGAAAAAGGGCTTATGTAGCTCATTCATCACATATTTTATCAAAAACAATCCTTAAAGAAATTTCTGAAGAATGGGCTAAAGAATTTCATATCACTTCGTCACATCGATTTCGCTATATAAATCCTAATGTCCATACGACATTTATGTTCACCCATTATGTTATGGAAAAACATCGTGAAACTCTTTTGAAAAGTTTTCTAATACTTAAAAATGATGTTAATCATAATTTTAAATGGGAAATATCAGAACGTCGAAAAATTTTAAGATCTCTAGGTTCAGGCGTATCAATTGGAAATGATCGAAAGACTTTAAATAATTATGATAAAATAATTGAATCCGCTGGAATTGAAATATCTTCCGAGTTAAAATATTATTGGTCAAGTATGGATGGATATCCATATGCAATAGGTTTATCCACTAATTCCACTAATTCCTCCGCTAATAATGTCCACCAAACTTTAAATCATAATGATCATCCTCCATCAAAAAGAAAATGCAAAATTGACTTTGTACATTGTTTTGGTAAAGATTTTATGGATGGAAGAATACATAGCGTAGATATCAACAATATTTTTAATAGAATAACTTACGAGAAATTAGAATGTGGTGATTGCATAATTCAACATATTGTGAAATCATCTGGAGATTTGGGTTTAGAGGGTTTCTTGCCACCTCCTATTAAAAAATCTTTTCAACCAAATACTTATGATACTCTGAAAAGTTGCGGGAAATCTCAACTTGATTATCGCTCATTTGCGATCTCTCAATTATATAAATATTCTTACGTAATAGGGGGAAATTCTTTTGAATTTATAATATTCACAAATTTTAGAACAGGAACGAAGATTTTAAAAAAATTGGAATCGACTAATCCCAAGCCCTCAATATTTTGTTTAAATGATAACGATAGAATAAGTTCCGGTTCCGAAATAAAAATTAAAAATCTGGTCAAAGAATTTATGGAGAATAATTATAAAGTTCCGAATGAATATGAGATAATATGAGATAGATAAGATTATATTAATAAATTATTATTAGTAACTTATTATATTATTCTAAAAATAAATTTTACATAATTTTAAACTATATCGCAGGGTAAATATAGATAAAAGTTTATTATTTGCAATTATTGTTTTTCATAAGAGTACTTTCGCAATCAGCGGATATGTTTTTTTATTCTTTTTATTTAAATGCTGATAGTAATATTATCATTGAAAACAGTTAATAGATTAATGAATAAATAATATTCTAATGCCAAAATGCTTTGCCGTAAATAAATAAATAAGCAAATTCGATATATTTTCGAAATAATTAGGTCTAAATGATCTAAATGAGGATGTTGCAGACTAATGGATACATAAAAGGTAAGTATATGTTTGATTGATAATTAATTGATAACAATAATAGGTAAATACTCTACATCATTATTTATTCATAGGAGCTGAAATAGTTTTCTTTGAATTATTAAAACAAGAGAAATTCATAACAATGTGAGGGTTATTAAACAAATTCAAACGAATGGTAATAATATAATAAAGTTAATACATGGGAATAAAACATATAAATTGTACCAATTATGAATATATGCAATGTAAAATCAGATTTTATATAAAAAAAAAAAATTCACATACATACGCATCCAAAGGTTGGGGTTGCAGATTAAAACAAAATATATTTTTAATAACTAATCAAATTCGCAGTGAAACTAGAAACTATCGAAAAAAGCAATTTTCGTGTGTGTTTTCCTGCTTTATCATAAAGTTTTCGCCAAAAGGGTCTTCGATCGTCACTTACACTGGCGGTCAAACGTTGTAAATTATTATAGTCATTCAAAATAAGAGCGTTAGTTGATTTATGTTTTCATATACAGAGAAGTTATCGGGAGCTTTGGAATTGTAAACTTTTTTTTAACTTACAATCCTTATAATCTGAATAACTAACTAATATTTGTTTACGATGTTCATTATACTCAAAGAAGCCTATAATGAGGGACTCTTAGAGACCTCTAAGACCACGAAGTTTCTCAGCAAGAATGACCATTATTAATAAGTTATAAAAATGAGTATATCGAGTTTGTTAGTTCGAAATTCTATTTTTTATAATAAATAGAAGTATATAAAAAGTGTAAAACGAGAAGTAGAGTTTACTATTTCAATATTCATAACGGTGAAGTTGTTATAACATTCGAAATTACAGTTCTATGCGCTTTTCCATTTCCGGATGTTTTCCACACAAGTGAGCCCAAATATCGAACGATTATGAGAATTTATAGGATTTTGAAAAATAAATACCTGAAAGATCCCAAGTTAACTTTATTAAAAATGGTCCTTCGTGAAGAACAAACGTCAATTAGATGATGGTAAAATCAATAATGATGAATATAATGAACGTCGAGAATCGATACTAAAGAAATGGTCTGACGAACCAGTGGAAACAATAAAAATCTGAACGCTCTCATGGTATATAACCTATAATCAAAAAAATGTCTCTTAATACCTATACATTTATTTTATTAATCGTTTAAAATGTGATGGTCGTAGACTTGTATGATGCTTTCCGGTTGAAACCAAATGCAACTAAGGCTGAAATTACAAGAAACTTGCTTTAAAGCACCATCCAGATAAAAATGGAGGTATTAAAACTGAAGAGATACTGCGTCAGATTTTTACTCCTATTCGCACATTAATTACTATTTTTTAATAGTGGGATAAAATCTCGAAGGCATATGAAGTCCTATTAGACGATGACAAACGTTCTCTTTACGATAACTACGGGACGATAAATAATTGTAGGCATTAAAATTTTCCATTGCATTTGTTTTTCGTCATAACATTCGTCATCGCCTTACTCGCCTTTTATATTATCTCTTTTATACTCATTATTATATACCAGGCATCACTATTACTATAGTTAAAAGATAAATGAGAAAAATGCTCCAATACCATTTTAAAAATATGAGCTTGCTTTTCTTCTGGAACTTAATAAACTTGCATTATTTGTTGCCGATATTGTACAATAAGCTGTGCGACGGAAAATTTCACACATAAGGCACACTGGTATATATATTTTTCAGACCATGACATATCGCAATATGAGAAAGTGACGAATTACACTACGCAATATTAAAAGGTATGAATTTACTTGACTCGTGATCGATTGTGATTAGTTTCTCTATTATCTTTAATATCTACTAATTAATAATTATGCGTACTACAGATATCATGCTATTTTGCCTTATCCTAGGAGATGTTATTGAAGAACCTATCTGGGAGAAGAATAAGAACACTTTGCAAAGATTGATCCAAATAAACTTGTACTTTGGAAAGTTGATATTCCTACTTATAATGTGAATCCAGAAGAAAAACTTGTATAACATAATGGTGTAAAATTGCTCTAATATAAAAAGATTCTGATAGAATTCATATAAAAATAATTGTACAACCGCTTGATACTGGTAAGCGTTTCCTAATGTTTTATCTCTCAAACAATGAAATTTGTAGTTCTCTTATTTTTTTTTATTTGTTATCGTTAATATCTATCAATTAATAATCATGCATATTACAGATATCATATTACTTTTCCTTGTCCTAGGGGATGCCATTGAAGATTCTTTTCCAGTTGATAACAGTAGTGGAAGGACCGTTGGACATCTTAAGGAACTCATCTGGGAGAAGAAAAAAAACATCTTTGCAAAGGTTAACTCAAATCAACTTGTACTTCGGAAAGTCAATATTCCCACTTACAATGTGAATTCAGAAGAAAATCTAATGATAACTTGGCATCCTAAAATCAATTAAGTAAACATTATTACTATCATCAAGTAAAATATTTTCCTCACAAATGTCATTGTGAAATACACCTCTATTGTGAATTGCCTTTAGTCAAGAAGACCCCTAACCCTTTGTCGTTCTGTTATATGCTTATAATTTACTTAAAGCAGTACCAACAAGAGTCATGCAATAGCATAATACATCCCACCATAGAAACCATAACACAACAAATTTAGAATGTGAACTCCCTGAATGTTAGAAAAGATTTTATAAATTCTGACGTCTTGTTGAATTTCTTTCAAGACATGTGGGATTTTCGATAGATCAGTACACTTCAAGGCAATTGTATTTTCACGAAATTCACATAGGAGTGTCTTTCCACTTCGTCTTAACCTAATATACTCTTATACTTGAAATCTGCAAAATTAAAATTCTGAATAGGATCCTGCTTTTGCTTTTTTTTTCATTTGTTGCTGAGGAATAGTTGCTACCGATGTATTAGAAGATGGTCTCTTCTTAGAAGCTATGATTATTGTTTTTCCAGTTTTCTTAGTTGATTTAGTAGAAGAGATTGACTGTCTTTTTCTTTTTTTCGATAGTTATATTAGGATTCCTAGAAAAGTGATCTGCGCATAAATGTTAAACCATATATGCATATATTTTAAGTGATTGAGAAGGGTTTTTTACAACGATGGTTCATTGGCTGATCATCGCAGAAACCAGTGATATTGATAAGTTAATAATACGTCATACTGAAGTTGAGCTTCTGCCATATAAGTAAAATCTATTGAATAACATCCCTTGCATGTTGGTTTTATTCATAAAAATCTGAAAATGTTTGTTTGTAAACACACATTCTCCCTTGATCTCAATTGGCATGATAAATTCAATTGAAAAAAAACTGTATCAGTAATAGGAACTGGTTGTCTCGAAAATTCATAATCTGGCACGAAAACATTTAAAACTTAACAAATATTGTAATAAAAGGTACCAACAACATCCTCTTCATTAATAAAAGATAGGGAGTTACCAAATTGTGATCTTTCAAATTCTGGTTGATTGTTAAAATTGAACTGATTAACTTCCTCAAAAAAATTATCCCAAAGACGATAGTGGCCTGTGAAGTATTAGCATCTGGATGATACCCAATAAGTGATGGAATATATAATAATTTTATTAATAATTTTTTCATGACAAAGTGAAAATGAAGTAGCAAGCAAAAATTATTAATATATCAAGAGGGAGGAAGTACGTGGATCCTGGCCGAGTCCCAGCATCATGCTTATTTCTTTACTCTCCCACATTTCTGGTAAATTTCTACAGCTAATTTTGTTTCTATCACTATTGCTAATCTTATACTCCCTTCTATAAATACCAGATTTTCTATCCCAATTATACATACAAAATTTTTATACATTTATATTTCTTCCACTCATACAAAAGAACCATGCAAAAAATCGATAAAAATCAAATTAAAATCAGTAAAATCCGATTTTTTTTTTTCATTTGACCTGTATATAAGTACCGAAAATATTAAATTTAATATTTAAAGTTTTAAAAATTCAAAAATTAGTTAAAAATTGAAATTTTTTATTAGAATGAAAGAATTTGAATATACACAATATAATAATAATAATAACATAGATCTTCAGATTTTAAAAAAAATTTCTAATGTAATTAAAAGAAATTTAAAATAATTTACTGACTAACTCGAGAAAATTAAAGTTACTAACTAATTCAAAAAAATAAGGTCATTAATTGATATAAGAAAATCTAAAGACAAAAATTTTTAAATAGTAAAAGTAATAATATAAAATATTGAAAATTCTTTTTACCAATTTGTTAAATCTTTTCAATATTTAATTTGTTCGAAAAAAAATTAATTTTAATAACCTATTTCTCTCCACTTTCTTCAATTTCATTTTACCTAAAAATAATGAAATGATAAATGCTTGCTTCGGTTTAAAAATAATGAGATGGTAGCACATGAACTGATTAAATGTTGATGATCAACGAACTTCGGTTTATCCGATAAACAATGATAACCAATTTTCACTTGTCATTATAGTACTATAAAATAAGAATTTTTTTTTTTTTTGTTTATGTAAGTTAAATTTACCTAGAATTCGTGATCTTAATACATTATAAAGCGTCAAAACGTTTTTTTCATTATTAAATTTTAAATTCCCTCCTCTTATTTTTTTTTATTTTATTTTATTTTATTTTATTTTATTTTATTTTATTTTATTTTTATACTTGACATTTTTTATTTATTTTTACTTTTGACATTTTTTTTGACTTTGACGTTTTTTGAATTGACATTTTATTTGGGACAATAGTGATAATTCACGATTCAATTTATTAGAAAAATGGCCATTCAACAAGGTAAGATGTTAGATCTATTCAGATTTATTTAATGTTAAAATATTGCCTAAGATCGAACGGATCAGAACGTATACATACATACATACATATATAAATTTTATTCCTTATGGAATTTTACAGATTCACAATCTACTGATACTCCACCTCTTCCACCTCGTCGAAATGAGTCAAACGTATTTTCCGATTGTGCCAAAACTCCACCATTATGGCTCATTGCGTTGACGCGTCATAACACCGGAGAATATCATACCCACGATTTTTTATTATCCCAATTTGATGATGAAAATGTGACTCGTTTAATATGCAAGGATTGTCATAAAAGATTTATGTTAAATACTTCATTTCCTAGTGCATCATCATCTGATGGTGGTGGGGGAGGGAGAGGAGGAAATTTTGATTTATCATATTCAGATAGAGGAATGTGTACTGCCAATAGTGAACATAAAATGCATCACCTTCATACCCCATCAATTGATAAATCAACTATACATTCTTATTGTTGTCTTTGTTTACTTGATATAAATGTTGAAATTATGGAACCTATTATAGATATTTCAATTTTTGAGGAAATGAAAAAAACAAGGAAACCAGTTCCTTTATGGTCAGATACACTTAAATCGAAAACAAATGGAACAACATCTCAAGAAAATACAATATATTTTAGTGAAACATTGGAAGTTTTGAAAAGTGTTGTGCAAAATTTTTTAAATGATGATTCACCACGAAAAAATGTGAAAGTGACAGGTGAAAAATTTATTAGTAAGATTGGATTTGATGAAGCGAGGTTGGTGTTTATCTTTCTCCCAAAATTTATTATTCATATCCATCACATCACTTCCATCACACCAAATTATGAAAGATAAGAGAAATAATATTTTCAATTTTCTAACAAATTTTTTTTTGCCTTTAGCAAGGCTTTTTTTACCAAGCTCGATTATACATTAGATAGTAATGATTCGGTCATGTTGTTTCGACCGCCTCCACTAGATGAAAAAAGTCAATTTAAATTTAAACATGTATTAGAAGAATTGGATTTACAATATATCGAGTTGAGTGAGTGACCTTAAATATTATATATATATATATATATATTACATTCTTTATACATTCTTTATATATTCTTACTTTGGTTATTTAAATAATAATAAATAATAAATTAATTAATTATTATTATTCCAAATCTTAAATTTAAAGGTAAAACTAATTCTCGATATATGGTTCCCTGGGATAAGTTGTGTCACGTTCTTGGAACAAAATGTAATCGAATCAGAATCTTTTCAATATATATATATTTTTTTTTGTTAATATCTTTGATTGTTATTACCATTTTAAATTAACTCAAATTTATATCAAATTTTATATTAAATTGAATATTTTTTATTTCGGATATCGATATTGTGGATTCGATAAAATTAATATTAAAAAAAAAAAAATAATATACTAAAAAAAAATTATATAAAAAAAAAAAAATTAATATTAAAAAACAATTAATATTACAAGATAAACCGCGATCCCCCAACCTTTCATCCGGAGTATTTGATCCCAAATCAACCAGTGCGTCAAGTCGATGTCACGCATTGGGATGTATACCGGAAATGGATGATAGCATTTTAACTGAGATGTATAATATTTTAATTCGTGAACATCCGGAAAAAAATCCCGAATATTTACAAGCGGTATGTGAAATTTATGAAGAAAGGAAGAGTGAATTACTTGGAGAATTAGTGGGCTTCGAAAGATCCAAAGGTATTTACGCATTAATCATTTTGATCTTATTATGTGTTGAATATTGTTGAAATAATAAAAATTATTGGATATTTTGATTATTAATATATTGGGTATTGACGGTCATTATTGTATTAACTTTAATTTTCTATAAAATCAAAAAAAACAAGGTAAATATACTCTGAGTGATGTCGAAGAAGCATACAGAGAAATGGACGCAAAACCGAGCGTATCAGATGAACAATTGATTGAGGCATTTCAAACATATGTAATTACATTATTTCAGTTTTCACCTTTTCTTTTCTTTTCTTTTTTCTGTTGCCGTCTTACGAGAAAATTGTTATTATTATTATTATTATTATTACTATTATTTCTTTAGTATAATGAACATCCTCATACGAGTGGAAGAATGAGGGAAGCTTTATCAACTATTGGAAAAGCTAGAAATAGTTTAAGAATCGAAAATTATTTAAAGGACAGAACAAATGGTAAGAAAAGTAATATTAATCAATTAATAAGAGATACCCCTTGCGATATTTCCATTTTTAGTTTAATAATCAAATATTATCAAATATTTTTTTTTGGAATAGAATTGAAAATGTTTGATTATTTTAATGACATGTAAGTAAATATTTATTCATATCGTAAGAGTCTTTCATTTTCTTATATTTTATATACATATATACATATTTTTTAATGATAGGCCAATAGGATTAGACAATATTGGAAACACGTGTTACCTTAATTCTTTATTACAGGTTTGTTTATCATTACCATTATTAATATCATTATTATAAATATTATTATTATTGATATTATAATAATAATAATAATAATAATAATAATAATAATAATAATAATAATAATAATTATAATAATAATAATAATAATAATTAATATCAATTAATAATAATAATTATAATAATAATAATAATGATGATATTATAATTATTACAGTATTATTTTACAATTCGAAAATTACGGGAGGCAGTATTAGCTACAGATTCTACTCCAACAAATGGATTTTATAATGAATGGGAACTCACAACCATAGGTGGAAGGAGAGTAACAAAAGCCGAAGTTGAGAGAGCTCAGAAATGTAAACATAGATTTGATATACATATATATATATATATAAATATAATATAAAAATAATATAAAATATATTATACAACCTGTAAAAAAATATACATATATACTAATATATAATATACATATATAAAATATATATATATAAATTCTTAAATATTTTTAGTCGTCAATCTTTTACGTAATCTCTTTGTCGAATTAATGCACACATCTCAAAGATCAATCTCTCCAGATTTTGATTTAGCTTATCTGGCACTGGTAAATGCCAAAAATGAAGAAGATCATACTAAAGAGTTATCAAGATCACCTATGGACACAGTAATGGAAAATGATAATAATAATAATAGTAATAATAATAATAATAATACCAATTCAATTAATATGATTATTGATGATAATAATATCAATACTGTCACTAGTCCAGGATCCTCTTCTTCTCCTCCTCCTCCTTCTTCTTTCCCTCCTCATCTTCCTTCTTCTTCTAATAATATTAATAATAGTAATGATGATGATAATAATAATAATAATAACAATTATAACAATAACAATAATCCATCTCCTGATCTAATTGATTTTACCGATGATGTCATTGATTTTGATGCTGATGGTGGTGATGGTGGTGGAAGTAGTAGTGTTTATAATAATAATAATAGTAATAATAATAATAATCATAGTAATAATAATCATAGCAATAATAATCATAGTAATAATAATAATAATAATAATAGTAATAATAATATTATTGGTGATGATGATGATGATGACCTTATTGTAATTACTGATCCTAAATCGATGAATAATGTAATTACTGATCCTGAATCGATGAATAGTATAATTGCTGATCTCGAATCGATGAATAATGTAATTACTGATCCTGAATCGATGAATAATGTAATGCAACCTAATATTTCTTATAACGACAACAATAATAATAATATTGATAATAATGATAATGATGATAATATGGATACCGATACCGATTTACCTATTACTACTATTACTATTGATGATGATGATGATGATGATACTGACGTTGCTGTTACTACTGATGATATTGTTGCGTCTACTTCTGCTACCATGTCTGTCATGTCTACTGCTGATGCTACTCCTACCAATACAACGGATTTATTTAATTCACATTCCTCTTCTAAAGGAAAAGAAAAGGAAGATACTACTACTTACATTGTATCACAACAATCTCAAGGAGAATCTGATTCTTATACCAAAGAAGATAAATTGAAGAAAGCATCTGGAATGTTATTTGGAAAACAACAAGATGTCACTGGTAATAATTTATTTATTTTATTTATTTGTATATTTTATTTTATCAATCTTTAACCATTTTTATATATTAATATATATATATATTTTTGTATATATAGAATGTATGGATAATGTTATGTTTCAATTGGAAGCGGCTCTGAAATCTATCATGACAAATGAAAATGGTGAAGATCAAAATATTGTGAAAAGGTTTTTCGTTTAAATTTTATTATTTACATATTTAACATCGTTTGCGTCATCATTTACTTACATCATTTAATATGTATTTAAATATTTGTTTATAGTTTATTTTATGGAAAATCGCGTCAAATTCTTCGTTACAGAGAACCAAACGCCGGAGAAATAGTTATTAATAAAAAAGAAGAATTATTCAATCATTTAATATCCTTTTATTTTTTTACAATATATTCTGAATATTATATTTTATTTCGGAATTTATGATTCTTTAACATTTGATAATAATAATATTATTATTATCATTATTTTACTTAGTAGTTGTTGCTGAAGGTCGTGATTTATACGATGGGCTCGATGTTTACTTTGATGCATCAACGGTGAATTCATCGTAATGCTTTGAATCTAGTTCTTTGAAATTCTTATTTACCAACATAATGATGTACTAATTTAAATATTCTTAATTTAAATTTATTATTTATATTTATTTATATTTATTTATATTTATTTATTGACAAAAATAATAATGAACAAAATAAATCATAATAATAATAATAATAATAATAGGTTGACTTTAATGGAGCTCAAGCTGAAAGAGAAGTTACTTTAATAACATCACCTCCAATACTTCAAATTCAAGTTCAGGTATTATTTATATTTACGCATATATATATATACATATAAATATATATATAATTGCTTTTATATAATAATAATAATAATAATAAATATATGATGATATCCCATGATTTTTCTAGAGAGTACAATTTGATCGATCAACTTCAAACATCTATAAATCAAATGCATACCTTCGATTCGAAAAAGCAATCTATCTTGATAGATATCTTGATAAGAATCGAGAAATCTTACGTAATTTAATTAAGGAAGCAAATGAATGGAGAAAAGAAATTGATACCTTACAAGAAGAACTTAAGGATTTTTCTCGTGATAAGGTTAGTAAACATTTCATAAATTAATAGATAATTGTAATAATAATAATAATAATAATAATAATAATAATAATGTATGATGATAATTATTATTATTATTTTATTCTAGACGACCTTTTTATCAACAGTCGATTTACTTAAATCATCGGCTGAATTTGTTCAATCCTTAAAAAATGAGGATTTCATAATGGATGAAAATTTTGGACGGGAATTAGAAGAAGAAAGTGATTGGGTGGTTAAAAAAATAAATGGTATATTTTTTAAGTATCATTATTATTATTATTGTTATTATTATTATTATTATTATTATTATATTATAATAATAATTATTATTATTGGTATCATCATGATTGTCATGATTATCATAGAATATGAAGGCAGAATAAATTCTTTAAGATATTCATTAAATACTCAATACAATCATCTAACTGAATGTAAATATTTATTACACGCCGTATTTATTCATAGCGGTGAGTTATAATAATTATTATAAAAAAAAATTTATTTTAATTTATTTTCTAAATAAATATATATATATATATATTTCGGAATATATATTTATATTTATTTATTTGGAATTTATGGAAATTATTATTATTATTTTTATTATTTTATTTTTTTTTTCGTTCTAACAACTGATTTTCAGTTTAACCATAAAAATAATTAATTAGGTCAAGCGAATTTTGGTCATTATTGGATATACATTTATGATTTTGAAAAGAATCGATGGTTAAAATATAACGATTCTTATGTAACCGAGGTATTATTATTTAAATTAAATTTAAATTATTTATTTATTATTATTCTTATTATTTTTGTTTTAAAACACGTTGATGTTATTTTTTATTATTATTATTATTATTTTGTGTGTAATTAGGTTGACGAGAATGAAGTATTTGCTGATACAACTGGTTCTTCAGCAAATCCATATTGCATGGTTTATGTACGAGAGCAAGGTAAAAAAAAAATTTATTTTACCCATTTTTTTTTAACCTTCCAATATTGATTTTATTTTTATAGATTTCGATTTTTGACATTCGTATAAAAAAAAAAAAAAAATTATTATTCATTATTAAATATTTCTTGACTTTAATAATTTATTATTATAATAATAGATGACCAATTGGTTGAAACAGTATGCCGTAAACCAAATATTCAATAATAGAATAAATAAATAATAATAAAATAAATCAATAAAATCAATCAATCAATAAATAAATTATATTTTTATCAAATTTATCCAATAATAAAATGTATATTATTAAGGTTTACTAAATGCACAATTAGTTAAATTTTGGGGCGATCATCCTAAGATAACTGCGCAATAGCAAAAATTACTCCATAAAAAAAGATCACATTTGTTTATATAAAAACTTAATATTCAGTTAAAATAAGTCTCAAACATTCAAAATATGTACACTCCCCGGTCAAAAGTATTGGACCAAAGAATTTTTTTAAAATTTATTGGTATTTTTCAAAAGGTAATTAT